TCTTTCCCTCTCTTTTAAAAATAGACCTTGACCAGCTACCCTTTTCCTGGGTATGGAATGTGGACAATTGAAGGTAGGTTTGATGTAAAGTTTCCCAAATTTGTATTTTGGTGGTATCACTACAAGAAAGCTAATAGACAGGAAAGGAGACCGAGTTAATGACAATTCTCCAAACAGCTGTTGTACGATTCAGCTTCACTACTTCAGTTAATTAATCAGCACCTTGCTGGCAACTCTAGGGGAGATACTCGTTAGATACTGGTAGCAAACAGATAATGCTTTCATATCGAATATGTTCAACACCATCTAATACAGAGATAATTTCCACAAAAGAGGGCAGGGAATACGGTGACTCTAAAAGCACTTGAGAAGGGACTTTTGATATTTTCATACACGTAGAAGTGCTGGGTGCCTTACATTCATTTCTTACTCTGTTATTTGTACCTGCTCTACCTGCTGTTTTAGCTATCCCTAGATGTACACCTTTAAAAAAAAAAATTAATGCATGCGTGTATGCATGTATACATGTATATCAGTACCTACAATCATGTATTGCTATCAATGTACACAATACATAATGAACTAAACTACTGTATATTTTATTTCAGGAAACAGAACTGGCAAATTTAAATATTTAATGCACATATATCTTTAATACAATAAAAATGTAATTAAGATTTTAAAAGTCTGAAGAATGCTGAGCCTGCACATTACTTTAAGTTGGCTATTGCCTCAAAGCTTTCCCTCCATCTTCTGCTCTAAAAAGAGATACTTTGCATCCTACCTACCAAGTCAATAACAGCATTCATATTTTATGAGCTATAATGCACAGAAAGCTTAATCCAATGAAATTACATCTCTATTTTTGCAGTATACCGTATATTTTAGTAGAGCTCTAAAACTGCTACTACAAATGTTGATTTCAAGCTGAAGGTGAAACTGACTTAAAAAACCCCACCCGATTATGGTGTAATTATCACAAAAGTTTCCTTCCTTCAAGCTGATTTACTGTTAGGGTACAATTTAACATACTGTAGTTCTTATCCTTTACTGTTCCTTTCTTCACTTCTCTGATTTAACCCTGTTGTTGTGGTGCAGATAGTAAATTGCAATGAAAATGACAGAGCTTAAGAGGTTGAAATATATTTGCTGTCAAATGGTCCATACACGTTCACTTCAATTTTTCAGTTGACTTTATTGACTTATTAAGAAGGATAATAGGCCACATATCACTTTATATACATAATTGTTTCATAAATCTTTAATATTACTGACATGTAGTTTTTGTCTTGTAGGATGTAGTGAAATGATTTCATTTTTGATGCATAACCATTGTGGAGTTTAGAAATTTATTGTTTTATGGTTTGTTAGGTCACATTGTTTGTTTTTGAAGCCTTCCAAAGTTTGCGTAATGTGGCAAAATTGTAGTTAGGACTCATTGAAACAATTCCAAGGGTCAGGTTGTTGCATTCTGGAACAAGGGCTTGAGGTTGTATTAACCGATTTATGCAGACAATTTATCCAGTCTACTGGTATGTACTGATGTAGACAATTATAGCTTCAGCTCTTTAATGAAACTTACATTATGGTAGAGAGAATATCATAGAGTCTATTATACTCATGGGAACTATAAAGAGAAATGTCCCTTTTTAAATTAGCTTTACGGTACTGAAGCTTTATGTATTTACATGCAAGTACACTATTAACCCAAACTACTTGTTTTGAACTATTACTATTGTCAACTATCAGGAAGCAATACTGGCTATAAGAAAAACTTTCCTTATATCTACCTTTGCACATTGTTGGCTTTTCATGTTAATGGAGATCCTTCTAAAACTTTCCTTTTGCTGCAATTGTTCACACTGCAGTGAGAGCATGATGCTTTCTTAATCCTGCCTAATCTGCAGCAAAAACCTCAGATAAAAAGGATTTTTGTTTAATCCAGCTTCTCAGGTAGGTTATACTTTTAGATGTGAGCTATAAATATCTCTCTTTACTTTGTTCTTCTGAGAAGCAAACTGTTGAAAAGGAGGCATGAATTCATTCTTCAGTGTCCCCTTTAAAAAAAGAAATGGTATTTTTAATTTAGAAAACAGAGAAATGAAAAGGCAATGTTTTTGGTTTGTATCCTTCATTCAGTAAAATTGCTTGTGAGTGTTCAATTCAGAGAACCTTCTTATTAACCCCTAGGCACCAGTGGGTATAGAGCTCCCACTGCTAAGTGCTGCTTTGTATTGCAGCTGTGCTAAGCATCAGGAAATTTCAATGTCTGTTTTCAAATAGTTAAGATAGAGTGCATCTGTATCCAAGGCACTTCTGTTTGACCATTTTTTCTCCACCATTGCTCACTTTATAAATCTTATTGTTGAAAGCTCCTTAACAATTCAGTCACAACCATGCATAAGCATTCTTTTAAAAAAAATACAAAACCCACACACACACTGAAAATAGGGGGATAGATCTCCATATTCTGGATGAATTCCTAGGAGGACCACATTCACCTTAATATATTGATCTCTCTATGTACCTTGCCTGGTTCTGACTGCCTTACAGCAGAATCATTCTTTCTGATATAGGCCCCTAGAAGCCTGAGTGAATTTAATAGGAAGACTCCAATTAAGTTCAATAAAACTAGATCAGAACCTTAATTTACCAATAGTCCCATCCTTTGATGCACTTTGTTTTGTGAGGACGTAGGGTTTTGAGAGGAGGAATAGTTAAAAATTGTGTGCAAGATGAAATATAATGATTAGATACAGGGGATATAAAATTAATGGACTGTCTCAAGGCTTTCAATCATTCTTCTTCTCTATTTCTCATATATTTTTTCTAAATGATAGTATTACCTATGAAGTATCCCAGACTGAAATCCTTCAGTTTGCCCAAATAACAGGCAGTGAGTGAAGGAAGTGTATGTTTCCCTAACCCATCACACCAGTATGTCACTAATGGTGTCATTTCTGTATGTACATGTGGTTTAGCTCACGAACTGTTTCAAGATTTGTTTTCCTCATTCAGAATGGCAAGAATTTCCATTTATGCAATTGTGAGGATGACTTTTGTAGTGGAGATAATTTTCTACTGGGAACTAATTGTTTATATAATAGCAACTTATTTCACATAGATAAACAGTCACATAATAAGGAGTACTGGTCTGTTTTCTCCATTCTAAACCATTTTTACTCCTTAGCTTGCTTCTGGTACAAATATGTTATTTTTAAAAAATAAGGATGCAAATAAACTCCCAAAGGGACATTTCTGAAAGCCTCATATATTTTCCATGAGCTCCAAATAGGGGAAGGTTAAAAGATAGATTTTAAAGGACCTCGAAATAACATGTGTAAATAGTGTGTGTGTGTGTGTGTGTGTGTGTATAAATATATATATATATATACACACATTTAAGTGGTATTTTTATAGCTTTTAGGCATGTAAGTCACTAAACGTCATCTAAGTCTTTCTAAGACATCTAGATTCATTTTGCAATCAGCTTCAACAGGAAGGCTGAAGAATGCCCTTGGTCCTTTCTACCCATAGCCTGGTTTATAGGGCATTTTTTTCTGGAAATGGGCAATGTAGGTTCAAACCTCCTCTCACAGCAGAAGACTTAAAACCCAGGTCTCCCTTTTCACAGGAAGTACCCTAATCACTATTGGAAGAGATGCAGGACTTTTCCTTCACTGAGCTGTTTTAAACAGCTGGTCTTCATGGATTTTCTCCACCTAGGAAATCCAGGGTTTATGTGGAAGTACATATTTCCCAGATAAAATTGGATTGCAACAGATACTGGAGTGATATGCCTAGGTGGCTATTCAAGCTAGCTTCTGAGCATATTTAGTAGTCCAGGTCTAGATGACTAGAGATCTTTTTAGGGCCACAGTAGGGCTGCACAATGAATCTAGATGTCTTAGAAAGACTTAGATGACATTTAGTGACTTACATGCCTAAAAGCTGTAAAAATACCACTTAAATGTTTTAGAGACAAAATTAGATCTGTGCCATAATGTA